TTGATATTAAGGATCTTCAAACACTTCAACAGAACCAATCGATCAAGCTTTGGTGGCGGGTGAATCATGATACAGGTGTCTGGGCTAACACCATGCGAGCCATCTACATGCGCAAGGGCACAATCAAAGAGAAGCTCACTGATTCCACGCCATGGAAGAGAATTTGCCGGGTTCACTCCTTCGCTATCAGTCACGTTGATTCTGTGCATCCCCCACTTTGGGATGGGAAACCATTCTCCTCCAAGAATACCCTCCTTTCTCTCTATGGTGTATTACCTTCCCGACTTTCCTGCAAGTACATTTGGCATAAGGCCCAAACTCCTAAACTCCGAATCTTCCAATGGAAAGCATTCATGTGCTGCCTACCCTTCCCTGATTTAACCAAGCGCTTCAGCTCCTGTCTCCCCAGCCAATGTCCGCTATGCAAGCAAGCAGAAGATTCCATAGATCATACTCTCGGAAATTGCAGGTTTGGTTACCAGGTCTGGAAGTACTTTGGCAATCTGATCGATGCTCCCATGTCAACTCCCAACCTCAAACTTAGCCAAATTTTCATCAGTTGGTGGTTCTTAGGTGATACGTTCTCCTTCAAAGGGATTCTACGAGTCATTATGCCCGGTGTCATCGCTTGGCACCTCTGGAAGGCAAGGAACTTAGCAATTCATGAAGGCCATATCCACACCAAGGAGGGTATCATCCAACAGTGTTTTAAACATATTCAAGCATGGTGCTGGGCTTCACGATGCAAAAAATGGCTGATCCATGATAACACCTTCAGGGGTTGGGGTTTAGATTTATTTTGGATTAATGGTAGCAAGCTTTTGAATGTGGTGTAGTTAGGCCTTTTTTCCCTCTTTCTTGTACTTCCTCCTTTTCTCTCTTTTTAATAAAGCCTCTTTAAAATATATATATATATATATACACACACACACATACAAACAATATAAGGCATTTTAAATGCAACTTGTGTGCACCTTGAATTGTTGTTTCTCACTGTTTTTGCATTGCCAAATGCTTCAAGAACCGGATTTGACTGGAAAATAAAGAAAATCCACATCTTAAACCATATTAGGATTCTTGAAAGCAGAACGTGACGTTATAGCATAATAATCAAAATTAAATATTTATAGAGGGCAATGCATACCTCAAGGACTTGTTGCTCCACGCTCCGTCCCTCATATGCTGCTCTGCCCCCCATATATGCAAGATAATTCATTAGCATCTTTGTGCTTTCTGACTTGCCAGCTCCACTTTCTCCACTAACCAAAATTGACTGGCTGATCCCGTCATTAATCATCTGTCTGCATCCATAAGAGCAGCTTTATGGAAAGCATGGAAATAATTGCACACGAGTAGACATACAAAACCTTGCATCACAGCTTGCCTGTAAGCAGCATCAGCAATAGCAAAAGGGTGAGGACTCAACTCCCCAAGTGCAGTTCCTCTATACTTTTCCATGACACATTTGCCATACAATTCAGGTAATCTTTTAAAAGGATTCACAGCAATCAGTATGTTTCCTGTGTAAGTCTGAAGGAATGATTAAATACATCAATGCAGCACACGGGCCATTTGAGATCTTGAAAAAAACAAACAGCAACATATCAAAGATAAACAAAAAAAAGGAAACAATTTTTTCTAATAAATCAAACAACTGAAAGGAGAACGGATATGTTAAAGAAAGTAAAAGCCACAGTATACATCATTACTACTCCGTAAACGAGATATATTACATACTAAAAGAGAACACTTACATAAATTTCATCATTATCATATCTACATCTCAGGTTATAGAGAACTCCTAGTTTGTGAAGATAAGAAAGCTTTGTCATATCATCCGTGCCACATGAACGGGCGTGGGATATTCAAGAGTGGCACTATACACATCACACTCCACTAGAATTTTGATTTATGTAGTCCAACCATGGAGTGAAAAGCAGCATAAGAAACGTTAGTCCAAACATGGATTGAAAAGTAGCTTGAGGAACGTGTATTCAATGGATGCCCATAATCGAGAAAGCAGATATTGGGAGTGGCGAGTGAAGGGTTTAGAGAAATCAAATGGGGAAGAGACCCCTGTCGATCAAAATCGTTCGATTTCTCCCCCGATCGAAATAGCTCAAACCCTTCTGCAACTTTCCCTTTCCCAGCGGAAAGACGGCCGGAAACCCTCTCGCTCTCAAATCACTCGCTCTATCTCTCCCGTGCGGCAACGCAATTGAAATGGCTATATCGCATTTTATTCAAAATCTCTCTTTCTCTCCCTTGTGCGTAAGCGGTGCTCACGTAAAACAGGAGATTGCAGCTCCGCGGAGATGCATGGGCAATTGGAGCGGGGTGTACACATTAAAATAGTTAATGCATTTTGTTGTAATGACTAGAGTTGACAAATCGGTCGGGTTCGGTCATTTAAAGTTTGGGTTATTTTGGGTCCGGGTCAATTCGGGTTTGGATTGAGAACTGTATGTTCATGACCCAGTGTCATCGAGATCGGGTCGATCCAACGGGTTATGACTTTGGTTTTTTAATTTTTTAAATTCACATTAACACTTACATTTTCTATTAAATAAATTTAAAATATCAAAAAAAAAATTAATCTACAAAATTATTTTATTTAAAACTCTAAAGTAGTTTTTAGATATATAAATCAATATAAAGAAATTAAAAATGCTTAAGTTTTAGAAAAAAGTAAGATAATTATGTAATATCATTAAAATTTTGTTTGAAAATATAAATTTATACACTAAAAACAAGTAAAAAAGTGTATAATTTTGAAAAAATCTTACTTTAACGGGTCGATCATGTCGGGTTCGGGTTCGGTCGGGTTTGACCCATTTTTAGCGGGTCATTTCGGGTTCAGTCATCAAAACCTTTGTTCAAAACCCAGTGTTTTCAAGTCGGGTTTCGAGTCAAAAACAGGTTAGGTCACTTTTTGCCAGGTCTAGTAGTAACTAAGGGATATTCCATCAAATATTTTGTTGTAATGACTGGGAAAGGATATTCCATCAAATATTTCATTTTGTTGTAATGACTGGGAAGGAATACACCATCCAACATTTCATCCATTAATGTTAATAAAAATATTCTTTCCTATTTTTTCCTTAATGTTTAATGATAATAATTCTTAGGTTTTTTTTATTTTTTTATTTTTCTTTTTTTTACTCTTTTTTAAAGTTTTTTTTAGAATTTATCTATAAAATCGTATAAAAATTCAAAAATGTATGATATACAAATAAATGAAATAAAAAATTTTCTAAAAAAGAAAAAAACTGAGTAATGGTAAAATGGGGAAAAATACATTTATTAATGTTATGAATAAAGTATGGGATGAAATGTCTCCTCTAAGTCATTACAATAAAATGTATGGATCTCAGTTGTCTTTTTGAAAATAGAGGGGCCTGAGAGTTATTTCTACAAAACTCGTGTCACTCGTATGTAATTTTCTACCATTATATTCGGCCTATTTGAGAAAGCATAGTTAATTTTAAAAAAAATCAAAATTAATCAATATCATTAAAAATTATTTATATTTAAAATATTGACGTTACGTTTATTGAATTCAATAGGTAGTATAATATTTCTCTGGTCCATAAAAAAATCATTTCTTATCTTATTATTTTTTTACTTTGATCTGTTCTGTTCATTAATGCTACAAGTTTTATGTGTTTTTAATATATATTTTTCACATCAAAATAAAAGGCAAGCGTGCAACAAGCTACGCCACTAGCCTCTTTTTAATAGCAAAACTATATCTTTTCGTCGCATACATGGAACGAAACACAAAGTGGAACGGAGAAGCCACGCAAGGCAACTTTGGTTGGGAACTGATGTGGCAAGGCATGACAAGCATTAGGCTCGCCACTGTCATTGCTCTTATACAGAAAATCTAGAAAATCGCGACATTTTGAAAGCCAATGTAAAACGACAAATAGAACTAACTTTCATTTCAATATGTTAAATTAGTACACATCAGTAATAACTAAGTAATTAAACACTTTTAATTGTTAGAGATTATACACAATTAGATCACTTAAGTTCATTTTCAATTAAAGTGTTACAATCTTTTTTGCCTTTTTTAGATTAGAAAAGGTTAATGGGGTATCTAAATTTTTTGGTGGGGGCACTAATACTATTTCTTATATTAAAAGTTAGATAATAACACTGGTTGTTTTTAAAAAACAAATCCATTGGAGGATCGGCCTCTATGTATTCAACTGATTTCTAACAAGTGTAAGGCCTTTGAAAGAAACTAGTTAATAGCACGGGAGTTTAGTGTTTGCATTTTGAAAGGACTATCTATGGACAACATTTAGCGTTTTCAAAGTTAATCTACACCATTAAAATTTTATCCAAAACACTAACACTAATCGAAAACGTAATTTCCAAACAGGAACATAGTATTTATGTAAACCCATATCGTAGATACAATACAACTTTTGAATAATAGTGCTCGTATTGAGATTAGGGAAAACAAATAGTTTTTTTAAGCTTTTACGGATAATTCCACGGAGAACTTTCGTCCTAAAAGAAATGAAAAACTGAAGGAAAAGAAAATGATATAGTCATGTCACCTCTACTTTTGTAGATCTTTTCATGTAGTTTTTAAATATGTAATTATTATTTTTTAATTTCATACTATTTTCAATATAAAATGATTTGAAAATAACTCCAGTCAAACATCATAACGCAACATCATAACGCGCTACCGAAACTTTATTTATGGACAGAAGGTGTATATTACAACTAAAAAAGGATAATCCTCGTCCCCGAGATGACAGGGCAAATAGTAATGTGCATCTCTAGATAATTTTATGGTGAGTAGACTTTTGCCTTTACTGTTCTTTCCCCTGTGAACTAGGATGTGATTAAAACTTGGTTGGGACATAAAATGATCTAGAGATGCATATTACTTTTCTTTTTTTTCTTTTTTTATTTTAGTTTAATCCGGTATCTAATGGTAGTTTTTGTTTTATTTTTTAAAAATAATAAATGGATCGAAACAAGAACCAAAATGGGAACCACCGGTGGAACCGGACCAAAATCATATCGGTCGGTCCCAAGAGGTTCTAGTTCTGTTTCCTCCATTTTAGGAATCGGAATCACGTCCACCCGACTAAGGGGGCGCAATGGTAGACCCAAATGCCGGCCTTTATGAAAAATGTGCAACGCCGATTTCCAAATCTGTCCATTTCGGCACCTGTTATATATCAGCCTCAGTCCCAACACACCCATTTGCAACCCCATTCCCCCCTGCTTTGAGGTACGACGGCATTATAAGCTTTAAAAATATTGCTAGTTTTCTCTTCTCACGTGATTGTAACGTTCTGGCAGTTTGACCTCACATTCTGAAAAATGGGAATAAACTGAAGCGTAAGAAATGATATTTGTGGTACCAACCTTTCCTGCTTTTCATGAGTAGCAAGTCCAGATTCAATATAACTGGCGTCTGCAACTTGTTGAGACTGCAACCCAATCTTATTTAACAAGTCAAATTCATCTCACCTTATTTTATCAAAAGCAGGAAAACCAATTCTCTGAACAACATTATGATTCACAATATCAGCAATGTTTTTCCAAAAATGTTTATCAGACAGTGAGGCTTCAACAACTTCAATATCTGAAGATTTATGTTCATCAAGGTTTGAGCAATTTGTGGAGCACTCTGGATCTGGATGACTGTCTGACTGGTTTGAATAGTTTATAGATCTATCTAATCCTGAAGGACCATCGAAATCTCCTGAATGATCACTATGTTTTCCTATTGCTTCAGTTTCATTTGAAGCCTGATCCTTCCAAATTCCAGTGTCATTACTTTGATCAGTCCACTTAAGCCATGGAAAAGCAAAATGTACAAACTGACGTGCTTGCACCATCTCTNGACTCTGTGGCTGTTACATCAAGAAGGTTTTACCACGGAGATAGCTTGCAAAGCCAAACTCTAAAGAGAAAGATATTGTTGTTTGGTGCATCATTAAAGATTTAGTCACGGGCCTTGATTCAAGGCATCTGCTTTTGAGTTCTTCCTATCCAGACTATTATTGTATTATGTGTGTAAGAAAGTCTAGAAACTTAGAGCTTGTTCTTTTCAACTTATTCTTATTACTTATTACTTATTCATATTGGAATCAAATCAGATCAGAAACAATTTCAAATATAACTTTAATCAGATCACCAAATCAGATCAGACCTTAATAAAATCAGATCGGGCGAAGAGAACAAGCTCTTAATATGCTATAGCCAAATGATGAAAAAGAATGTTACCAAAATGTTCCATATAGATACTCCCTCTTCCCTTAAAATTGTCATTTCAGATGAGAAATCGGAGGCATATAAGATGAATCATCTATGTATTAACTTTTTCCCTGATTTTCAGGATACAAAAGCAACAACAACACAGTTGAATGTGTGTGTACGCAAACCTTACCCCTACTTCAAGATACAAAAGCATTTAATAAAAATTAAAAAATACTAGTATATGCGGGCAACTTTGGAAGATTATTTGAAAATTTGCATTGAATGTGGTTGAAGAAATGTGGTATTATACCTCCAATAGGGTAATATAATAGAAATCCTCCATATGCTACATCAGTGCACTCCCATCTCTAATAGCTCGGAAAAATTTGATCTCCGTGTTCAATATTTTCTCAATAAATTCCTTCTCGCCTTTCATCTGCATACCCATTGTGAGAAAAAGATGAAAAGATTAATATAAATAAAAGGAGCTTCATATGCATGTATATGCAGGGGCAGTGGACACTATAAATAAAATAAAGTTAAGACAAAAACATGTCCTGATTTGTTGCCCAACATTTGCTTCCCTCAATGATTCCATGAAACAAAATTGAGAAAACAAAAAATGGAAGCTAAGTGACATTACGTTAAAAAAAAACTTGCAAACAGGAACCTGAGGAAGCATGCAAAGGTGACTCTTTGGTATTCTTTTCATTAATGTGTATATTTTGTAGCTATTGATTTTTCATATATTGACTCTTGTGGTAAGTTGCTACACTAGTGTGTGTGTGTGAAGAACAATACAATCACTTATGCCTCAAATATCTATATTGTATCGAGCCTATAACTGCTCACACGAGCAAACCCTACTCCATCCCCCCTCCCTCTCTCTTTTTCTCATCGCACCCTCTGTCCCTTTCAACCGTGGCCAATTACGAAAACCAAAGCAACCCCCCTCCCCCACCCCCAAATGTGTGGTTTTGCCCCTACTCCAACCACAAACTCAAACGCATCTTCTCTCCATGTGTCTTTCTTTGCTACTCCATTCAGTATCATTGTTACCAATGTCAAGTTCCTGTCAACAACAAAGTTTACCTCTCCCGGCATGGGAAGTTTGTCTAGGATATTTCTCTCTTAGAGAATAACATCTTTGGGAGAGTTGATGAAAGCATGGAATTAAGATATATAGATATTCTTTTTGACACTCTCAAGCATGGGCGAGAGAGACCAAGTGTGTTTATGAACTTTTGAAAATTGCTCGAACAGAACAATAGTCTCCTAGAAGTTCAAGAGTTAAGTTTTCAAGAATAGGAAAATCTTGCCCAAATCCATTGTATAGGCAGTTTCCATAAAGTAAAGCACAACCAATCTAATAGTTGTTCAGTATCCATACTTGAAAAATGAAAACATATCATAGAATGAATATCCTGAACTGGATGGCAGGCAGGTATGATTGCAGAATAACGTATCAAAATTTGAAAACAATAATAGAAGTTTCAAACATACAAATTCATTGACAATAACATCAGGTGTGGCTTCCCCAATAACATCTACTTGGTAGCTATCTTCTAATGGTTCAACGTTAGCCTGCATTATGTAACAAACAAATCCTTGAAGCCATGAGAAGCTTTCAGAGAAAAAAGATGAAATATATTCAACCATTAGAATATTTTTGTTTTTGGGAAAGAATTGATAGTGCTAATAGAAGTGATTGTCCGTGTCAGAGTGCATGGTCGAAGGGAATATCATTACCTTTCCTTATTAATAAGTCCCTCCACCATTCGACTCCCGTGTTTGGGGTAATGGAAGTTTCTTCCACAAATGTTAATTCATACATGATGAAGAAAATACTCCTATCTAGCATCTAAGGTATTGTACATTGCTTATTTTGCCTTTTTTAAACACTCACCCTACCAACCAAACTACGAAATTTGAAATCATTCTTTATTACCCACATTTTCTTTTCCCGCTTAATTCTTCATTTAATCATTTCTCATACACCAACCCTAAAGAAGTTGGGATCAAGGTGGTCATGCTGATGTACTCAAAGTTATGACAAAGTCTTTGAACATGTAGAATGCGGGGGAACTTATTTTTATAAAATGAAAATTAAACATAAAAAACATGTAAAAAGAAAATTAAGAAATTAGAGTAGCAGTTTATCACCATTGCATTTTTTTGATATCCTGCAGTGAGATAAACAGGTTGAGCCACATGGCAGTAGCCCATTAAACGTGGAACTGTTGGAATTATATCTCTGTGATTTACAGCCCTCCAGCTGTCTTTGACTTTCTGCAACAAAGAAGCCTAGTATTAAGACCCCACAAGGCACAAGCAATTGAAGTCTGGTTCTAGCTCAAAAATAAGGAGAATCATATTATAGAAATTTTAGCATTTTACTATGAGAAAAGGTTTTTAGCTTCTAATAAAAACGCAATTGTCGGATCAGAAGAAAAGTAAACTGTAAATAGACCACTTTCCTTCCAGTATTTCCCCTAAAAATTCCATTAAAACTGTTTATGACAAAGACTACACATTGAAAAGTGAGAAGAGATGATACAGATTTGCTTTACATTCAATTAAAGTCAGAAAGATACTTCACCTCGTTATATAGTTCAACAAATTTTTTGTTCCCAACTCTGGGAGATCCAAAATTATGCATAGTCACAGAGATAGCTCCATGCAAGGGCGGACCTAGAACATTTGAACCGTGGGGTCGTAATTTAGAAAATTTATATCCAGCCGTCACGCTTCTAACAATAAATAAACAGTATTCTATAATACATAACATTAAAGTTTATATATGTTATTGAAAATACTAACTAAAAATACTTCTAAATTGCAAATGTGAAATACTCCGTACATCTTTACATTCTCACTCAATTCTTTCTTTTTAAATCTTGGTGTTTTTTTAAAATACTTTTGCATCTTATATTGAAATTTAAATAATTAAAAACATTATAAACTTAAAACTTAACCTAATTATATTCACAATCTTAAAAAAATAAACGAATTCAATTCCCTATTCTTCTATTCACAACTACAAATTTATAACAATAAATTAAAATTTTCATAATTTACAAATAAAAAAGAAATATCCAATTTAGATAATTAGATTCAATAATGTAAAAGAAAAAATCTGGCAAAGTAGAAATGGAAGATGAAGATTTGTTCCAAAAAATAAAATCTAAATAGGATAGTTTGGTTATGACTAATCTAAGTTTGTCTTTTTTAATATTTTTGGTTTATAAAAAAATAAAAATTATTAATCTTATTTTTTGTTATTTAATCCATTTATTTAAAGTATTTATGCAACATGAGTATTATTGTTTAAGAAAAATCATCAAGAATAATCCTAATTTTAGCTGATATCAAAAATAATCATGCCTTTACACTAATACATAATAATTTCAACTTTACTTAAATTTATGAGTTTCAGGTCGTCATGAAAATGCTAATAGCTCGTTAAACGATGGTGTAAATTTAACTGGGTAGATTTGAACGGATGTGACCAGGTCAAAACGAACTCTATTAAGTAAGCTAAACACATTAGAAAGCAAGAACACAAAAAAACCTAGACTATGAAAGAATTTCTATGCCCGAAATTATAATTCTTACTGTAACGCTCTAAAACATACCCCAATTTTTTTTTTGAATTATTATTTAATTAATCAAAATTGTTTGGATTAAAATAAATTATTGTTGGTTTTTGGACCGAAATGAAATATGTTTTGATATTTAATATCACAATCTAGATAAATTTCGTAGAGATAAAACCACATATATTGATTATTCGTGTAACCTTGATTAAGAAACAGAGTATAGACCCAAATCAAAAATAAATGAAGAATTTGTTTATAATGTAAACTTTGAAATAATTTATTGAAATAAATAATGAGAATAAGTAATATGAATTAAATAACAGAACTTTTTTTAATAAAGGTCAACTAAATCAATTTTGACTTTGTCAAAGTCAAGCACCCAAAAATATATTGTCAGCAAAAGTATTACAAAGTAACATAAAAATTATATCGTTTGATAGAGTTCGACTATCTGATCGCAACGGTGCAAATAGCTTTCAATTTAGAGAAAGTTGGACCAAAAAGTGTACCCCAACTGGCAGGGCTTTCAACGGATAGCCGAAAACCCGATTACCCTCCGCATCCGTATCCGTTTAGAGAGAAAATATCCGCATTCGTTTTAAACGGATATTATCTGTGTAATACCTCGTATCAAGATGTGAATGGGAAGAGCTCAAAAAGATTGATAGTACTACTCATACCAACAAGGTGCATCTTCTTTTCGAGAGCTCATCACCTAGAAACTCCAAAGTTAAGTGTGCTTGCCCTGGAGCAATTTTAGGATGGGTGACCCCCTGGAAACTTTCCTTGGGCGTGCACGAGTGAGGACAAAGTGTGCGGGAAAGACTTGTGTTGGTTTGTGGGGTCAGTCCACAATCCTATGAGCAGACACTTACGGCTAGGGTGGGGGCCGGGGTGTTACAATTCGTATCTGATTAAGGATATCTGATTACTAAACGGATACGAATTTGGTAATTGTATATCCAATTCGTTTAATATCCGATCTGAATATGCATCCGTTTAAATAATCGTTTATCCGAATATCCAATCCGTTATATATAGTTTTTCCTAATTGTTGTATGTTTATATTTTGTTTCTCTATTGATATTTTAAAATATAAGACACTTTTATATACAAAATAAATATGTAGACACATAAAAATATATACAGATCTATAAAAATTTGTGTATACGTGTGATGTGCATATCTTTTTATCATATAAAGTTATCGTAGAATATCATAAATCATGAAAATAAAGAAAAATATTATCCTATAACAAATTATAGTTGATTTAATAATAATTTGACTTTAATCTAATTTAAAATTAAAGTATTTGTTAATTTGATTTTAAAAATTAGAAACGAATACGGATATATCCGATATCTGACTGATATCCGACAGATGCGGATACGGTTTTGATTTTCAGTATCCATCAAGATCCATATCAGAATTCGATATCCGAAAAAACTAAACAAATACGGATTTGGTAATGACACATCCGATCTGATTAATATCCATTTACACCCCTACCGACTAGGCCATATTAGTCCCAATCAGGGAGAGTCTTGTAAGGGATTCCCTAATCGCCGTCTAGCGCACTACGAATGATCCGCCGATCATGAATTAGAAATCTGACTCAGCTTGTGTATTTTTTTCTCTTCTCTTTTCTTATATAAGGATACTAAACCCTTACCATTTCTGCACCAATGTTCCTAAATTTAATATCATTGTATCCATGAGAGTGAGGAGAGCATTCTGCAATAGTTGCTGGCCACCGAAGTCGCCAGAGTTATGAGTAATCATCGACGGAAGTTTCACCGGAAAATTTCCAAAACCTCCATTTAAACTCGAGGTAAGCCCGTAGATATATTTAGTGACTAGAATGTTCGTATAGATTGTTTTTATGTTCATAAATGGTCGTTTGGTTGAGTTTTGTGTTTGACATATTTGAACAAAAAATCATAAATCTTGAAATTGTGTTAAAGCTACGAATTAATTACGAATTAATGATACCAAAATGATCTCAAAACCCAGGAGAAAATTTCTATATAGTTTAATTGAAGTTTGGTGACTAAAAGTGATATTTTCAAAAATGGACCCGAGTAAGAAGACGATTAACACGGTGGATTGATCCATGGTTGTGGATCGATCACTTGGGAGTGATCCTGGGTATTGGATCGATCCTGGGACTAGATCGATCAACCGAGCTTTCTAACTCGAATGTTTTTTCGAAAATGCTATTTTTGAGCTCTAAAATTCTATTTTTGATACCAATCAATTATGATCAATATAAAAATGATTTGTCAAAGTAAAAGTGATGTTTTTGACGAATAAAAACCTTGTGTGATGTATGACAGTAAGCTAGAGTGTTAACACTCGATATTAGACCGCTAATTGTTATTGGATATTATGATGAATAATACGGGGTATTCATTATTTTATCTATCTATTTTTTTCTAAGGTAAGAATAATCTTTAAAAAATAAAAAGAAATGGAGGTTGAAAGTAATTCAAAAAATTTAAATAAAAATTTCAAAAAAAATTTAAAAACAAAAATTCATCAAAAATAATCACAACTTTCATTTTGTTGCCGAAAACGGGCATTTCCGTTAACCCTCCGTTAGAAACTTAACGACGACCCAAAACTGACAAATTTCAGTAAAGTTGGGATTATTATGCATCACAGGGAAAGATGGTATTATTTTTGAAAGATTGGGTAAAGTTGAGATTATTTTGAGTAATTTTTCCATTATTAAATCATGACTAAAAATGGACATATGGATTATCACGAAAATGACCTGTTTGCAAATTGATAATGACTAGTCGTTGAGAACAGGCGAGTTGGAGCCGGAGCGGCGAAGCAGCCAGAGAGTGCGAATCCATGGATGGGAGAAGCGATAATTTGAGCACGAGGCCTTCAACTCTCCGCTGGAAAATCCTTCGCCGTGCTCTTCTTCGTCGCCCTGCATCTCCTCCAGGTCCGATCTCTCTCTCACACACACTAGTATTTACCCACTCAGGCGTTTCATATATTCTGAATCATGCGCTGAACCTAGTACTTCACAGATAACCAATCCCAATTGGACATTGAAAAGGTATCAAGAAAGGCGAGTCAGGGTTTCAATTTGATACCCTGCAGCTTGCTGGAAAATTGTTCAGAAGACAAGTCAGATGCTCTCTTAAGAAAGGACACCACGTGCAGCTCAAGAGACACTCTTCTTTGCTATACTTTGCCCCTTCCCAATTCTCCCCAACTTGCCGTTCAGTGAGTGTGCATTTCAAATTCTAGCTTTGTTTTTTTTCCATCTCATTTCATTATTTCAATAGGGTGAGGAATGTATTGCATTGTAGGCCTCATATTTACATTAGTGTTTTCTTGGTTTGCCATTGTTTTTTGCTAATTCAGTTTTTAATTGAATGTATTTTTTTATTAATGGATGATGTATTTGCATTTTGAACTTCCTCTTTGCAGTCTCTTTAAAGTTTGAGAAATACGAGTACTACCTCCAAAGAGAAATAATTCTAATGCTAATAATTGTATGAAATACACCTCTTTTCCCCCTTTTGACTTGGATTACTGGAGTTGGGGTTTTTTGTACTCAGTATCAGTAAAAAAAAACTTCAAAAACAAAGATAAAACTCTATGCCAGTTGTATTTTGTATTTTCTCTACATTGTTGAAGAGGCTGTGTGCTTGGTCTTTATTTGAGGCATTCTAATGTGAGCGAGTTTCCTCAAATAGTCAAATAATAAGTTCATCATATAAAAAAAATGCAGATGAGGACCAATCTGTTTATCTAATTTTAATATGTGCTTTCCTCTACATCTCACATAAGATGTGAGGGTAGTTCTGTACTTCTATGCTTCAGTCATGTTTGAAAACTAAATAATGTTAATAGAATGATAATGACCCTGTTAGGTAAACAACATATTGCTGGGCAATGTGTCCCTTTCGACATTGTGCAGAACAGCATATTTGACCACTCAAAAGTAAAAAATGCTAATTGCGGTGCTTGGTACACATCATTTTTGAACAACATTTTGGTGTCAAAATACTCTTTTCAATAATGGCATTTCTACCAATATTTTGTCATTTTGCATATTAAAGAGCTCAATGCTAATACGGAGTAAGTAATAACAATATGCCTAGCCACCGAGCATCTTTAAAAAAATCTGTTAACTAGTAGTCAACCCTGCTAGTAGAATCTTCCAACTTCTAACTGCTAAGAGGTAACTGTTGTCATCAAAAAAACTTGCATTAAAAGCAGTTAGTTTTTAGTGTTCAAAGTGTATTTGAAGGGGTGGATGCATTTTCACTATATTTTTAGTAAGTTACTGTTTAGGAATGCTGTTTTCTTACTTATGAATTTTGATGCAGCCAGAGAGTGAATGATATTTTGGATCTAAATGACTTTCAGATCTGTAACGAATGTAATATTGACAACACCGGACTTGTTTGTAAGTGTCTTATCACTCTAATTAGCGGAAAATCTTTAGTTTTTCTGTCCGCTGTAGTATTTAAAATGTTGTTTCATGAGTGTTATTTTCTTTGTTGGCATGTCACTTAATTGAACAATAATAAAGAAACAAGAATAATATGAAAATGGAAAGTGCTTGGCAATTTTACATTTCTCGGGCTGGTTGCTGTCTGTATCCATAGTATGTCCCAAAGTAGCTTAAGCTTGCTCTTTCTATTGCAATGGCGATTGCCTTAAAAAATGCTGCACGCAAATACCATATTTTGAAACATCAATGACGTGTAAATATACAAATTTGTTGCCGTTCACGATTTTTTTGTTCCTTCGAATAGAATTGCGAAACTATGCTCTCTCATACCCGGAGCAAGAAATTATATCAAATTTGCATGGAATTACCCCAAGTTAGTGTTTTGCGAATGAATTTTCTAGCTCTGTTAAAAAGCACACCAAAGTGATGAAGTTAGGTTTTGCTTTAAAGTGAAAGAGTGGAGCGAAGTGTGGTGATGTTTAGACGAAGATATCAGCGACAACTGACAAGGACAACGAAGCTAGAGTGCAGTGTTAGGAATTATTTATTTCATATTAGTTTGACATGCATTATTTGTTTTTTATTAGGAATAGTTTCCTTCTTTTACTATTTTCATAAGATTTAGTACTCCATCCGTCCCAAATGAAGTTGGATGTTTACTATTCACATGGTTAAACTTTAATCGGTCTATTTGCCTAGTTTTGTTACTCATTTGATAAAGTAATATAGTCTGTAAGTCTTGTCACCTCTTGATTCCGATTCCTAGAACTTTTGATGTATTTTTTAAATGTATACTTTTTATTTTTTAATTCGACACCAATTTTCAAATAAATTGAATTGAAAATAATTTTATTCAAACATTGTTAATATCAATGGGCATGTTAAATTGGGATTGAGGGTGTACTTCCTCCGTTTAGAAAAGACTATTGTCAAGTACTTCCTCCGTTTCTATTTTATCGCACCCTTGTTAACTTAACACTGTTTAGACACCATTATTTTTTAATGAATTTTTTTGATCGATACATAAGTAAAATTATTGTCAAGTTGGATCTTGTTAGATTCATATCGTTAACAACATTCCTAATCTCAATATTTTTTAATAATTTCTGCTAAAATATAAATCAAGATATTAATGATTTAATTTGTGCATTTGCAAGCTTGAAAAAATAAATGTTGCAATGAAATTCGAGCAGAGGAAGCACTACTTATAGGGCTTCGTTTTAAAAATAACTGTAGAGCATTTGGACTTGATCTCGTATGCTTGCCAGGCTAGCCATGGTCAGCCTGTTCAGCACTTCTACTTACTTCAAGGTTGAGAAGATCCTTTTTCTTGTTCTCAACCATAGCCTGTCATCATGTTGGTTTCTTTTTGTCTCATCCAGCATCTTCCTCATTGCTTGGACGAGATCGTGTATGAGCACCCTTAACAATCTGATAACATGATAGGTTGACAGAGCAACATTGTCAAACATGTTGCCATGATAAAAATTTGGTACCACAGGCAGGGACGATAGGTGAAAATGATGGATAATAGGCACTATTTAATTTCTATTTTGTGCAATTCATGATGTCTTTTGACGACTCGGTTTGATCCAGATTAGCTATACATGTTTAAACTGGAAATGGGGAAGAATTGTGCAATTCATGATACATAGTGAATCACTTGATACGGTTAAATTCAGAATTCTAACAATTTAGTAACATGCTTGAATTGAAAATTGAAAAGAATTGGATGCTGCATATGTGTAGTGTGATGGTATTTTGGACTCCGGCACTACTGATTAAATCAAATTTAGTTTGTTTTACTGTTTCTTCTATGACATACTGAAATTTATTGACTTATTACTTAACTTTTGAGCATGCTTCTTAACCATTAAATACTAATCGTGAAGTTGATCAAATCGTTCACGAAATGAATCAGATTTCACAACTATGTGTTGTATGATATATTAACCTATTGGTGGTAGGTATTGCATGCTTGTACCAGTAACTGGTCAGTTTAATGATAGATTTACCTATTGTTGGATAGGTCAATGGCCATCCGAGGATGTCCTTGCCTACTACTGCTTGTCACATACCGACATGTTCAGGTTTTTAAGAACCTGCTGAACTTCATTTTATGATTCACATTTTTAATTATATTTATCATTGTAAACTTAACCCCATTTTTTTCACTCATTACATCTTTTAGGCATAAAAGAGTAATTGAACTTGGATCAGGATATGGCGTGGCTGGCTTAGTGGTTGCAGTAGCCACAGATGCACTAGAAGTGGTAATCACTGATGGGAATCCTCAGGTTGTTGATTGTATCCTTTTTATATGAATTCGTGTCTGACTAACAGTAAACACAAAGCCAAGTATCTAAATTCTCCATATAAGACAATGAAGTTTGTGATATCCAACAAACTGGGAACAAACAGATCCGGAGTATTTACTAGATAATCTCTCTGTGTCTGCAAATGAGTCCAGTCATTTTATTCTCTGCCGAAGCAGACACTCTTTGAATATTCTTAACATTCTGAATAAATTTCAGATATACAGCGAAGTGTTATTACCAATTCAGGCGTGTTCGGCAGTACAGTGGTTAAGTCAATGATTCTACATTGGGGTCAGGAAAATGTCTCTGATATTTCCAGTACTTTTGATTACATTATTGCAAGTGACTGGTAATTATGTTTTAATTCTTGATTAGTCTCTCTGTGTGTGTGTGTGTGTGTGTGTGTGTGTTCTTGGGCAATCTGCATGGATGCAAGATGTCTTACTCTGAATGTATTTTAGATAAGAATAACTTGATCTTTATCTAAAGCTTTCTTTGGAAAATCCTAAAAGTTTGTGGTTGAAATCCTAATTTACACACCTTTTATATGCTAATAGCATCTGTAGAAGCTCACACCCTTCTACACCTTATAGTCAGTTAGTCACCCCCATCACTTTGTTGGGAATCTATCCCACACCGGATAATTAAAACAAATACCACTCTCATATAAAAAAAAGTTGCATGTCTACCTATTGGCCTAAGCTTTTGGTTAGAAATTCATCCTGACTTTATATGGAAAAATGATCAATTTCACCCGACACTCCACCCAATTCACTCTGCCAACTGAAATTCCAACACACTTTACAAAGTGCTTTCCAAAATATTATGAGCCACATGTTCATTACTAAAATAGTAAATAAAGTGAGTGTAAAGTTTATTTTTGGAACATTCATTAAAGGAAAATGTAAGGCATTTTATGGGAGGGATGAAGTAGTTTATCAGTATTATTATTATTATTGATTTTGTTATCATTACTTTTAGTGTTAATGTATATTATTATATGATTTTGCAGCACTTTCTTCAAGGAATTCCAAGAAGGGCTGGCTGAAACCATCAAGTTATTGTTAAAGAAAGAGGGTCCTTCTGAAGCTCTACTATTTTGCCCTAAAAGAGGTGATTCATTGGACAAGTTTCTTGGAAAGGTTAAAAGCATTGGATTGAGTTTTAGCACTGAAATTAAATATGACTCTGAAATTTGGAGGCGTCATGAGAGATTCGTAGATGGCGATGAATCCTGGCCCAATTACGAAATGGATCACTGCTATCCTCTACTGGTCAGAATCACGCGGTAAAAGGTCAACACATGGAGGAGAGAGGTAGTATTACCCTGATGGCTGTTTTGGGCGCATATTTTTTTCCGTTCATGAATTTTTTTAAACTTTATACCGTACATTGTTTGCTTGAAGGAATTTGAGAAGGATAACAAAAGAAAATGAGAGAAGAAAAGTTTTCTTTTTTGATTAGAGAGGAAAAACAAAAGATAAGTAAACGAAAAGAAAATGGAAGAAGAAATGCACTAAGGAAGATCATTTTCTTTTCGGTTTTTGTGAGGAAGTGTAAAGAAAACTTCTTTCTTTTTTTGTTTTTCTTTTGGAATTTCATGAACCAAGCATAGTGTTTTACTTTAGTACTTTACAAAGATATTTCTTTCTCTGTCTTAAAATCTTCTTCTTAGTTACTGTATTATTTACACAGTCAAACTTTAATCAGTTTCTTTACCTATTTTCATTTGTTATTTAGTATAGTCTTGTCGCATCTTATTTTTTTTAATTTTACAGCTACAATCAAACAAATTGAATTGAAAATAAAGTTGGTCAAACCTCGTAAGCAGAAACAGGAACAATGTTTTACGACGGAGGGAGTAGTAAATTGACGGCCTACCATTGGATAGAGCTACAAGTTCAGCAACCTCGGGACGTTCGGATATCATTACTTTGAGCCATTTTGTTACTCTTTTCGTCTCAAATTATTATTATTATTATTATAAAATTTTTATTTTTTAATACTTTTTTGATTTGATCTAAATAGATTTGACATGATCTAATTTCAATGAATCTGGTGTGCCCGATCTGAATGGATTTAATCTGACTTGATTTGTATGAATACGATTTAATTTCAATAAGAATAAGTATTGCGTAATAAATAGTAAAATTAAGTTGAAGAGAAGGGGGCCTTAGCCCGTTAATAGATTGATGCACAGAAGGCTATATTGTATATTTGGATATGCCTTTTTTTTGTATATCTAATGAGTATGGTGAATATGGATACGCTATTTTTTAATGTGTCTGCTCTGAATTTCTATAAAAAATGTGTTTTTTGTACTTTCATTTTCAAGAATTTGTTTTTTCTTCTTTTATGGATTGAATGTGTTATTAACGACAAAATGAGAAAAAAGTTTTGCAAAATAAGCAATGTGTAATTACTAAAATGTGCATACATCAATTTCATAATATGAATTCTTCAAGTATATGCAAAGAAAATAACTTTGTGAAATGAGTATTGTGTACAACGGGTATAAACTCAATCTTAACATAATCATACAAAATCGGACATATCTCCGAAAAAGTAAGGTCGAATGACACCTTTGTCACATATGAGTCGAGCTTAAGTTGTAAAGGAGCAGTAACGTTCATTTGAGCTTGGAATCACATGTTGATCATTGGTGTTGAGAGCAAAGTTAGATATGATTAAGAAGGCCCATGGATTAATGATAGAGATGTTTTAGTCTTAAATGTTACAGTAGATGATTGGAATGATATTATGTAATTGTCACACCTCTATACTATCACAGAGAAAAGTTGTTGACATTGACAGAATCTTCTCAATTATAAATAAAAAAATTTATTTTGGGAAGATCAAAACATAGGCCATATATTCTTAATAAGACTTCTATATATTTATGCCTAAAATAGAACTGCATTACGACAATTTGACACTGTGTATTAATATTCCGCAATGTTTTTTGATATTATTGACATTATAAAATAAAAATATGAAACTTTTATTTTAGTGCTTTTTCGATGTTTTTACTTCTTGTTTATTTTTTTCCCTATAAATAGGCATGTAAATTTATTTTTTTCCCTATAAATAGGCATGTAAATTTACAAATAACACAAGTCTTTCACCGTAGGAAGAGGCCAATGAGGATCTTTTGCAAAAGTGCAAAAACAAATTGATCACTAAGCTGAACAGTCAATCTAAAAATAGTATTAAAATAAAAATGAGCCGGAAAATAGATACGTCTCTTCTTTTGAATTAAAATTTACTTCGTTCAAAAGAACTGAAAATGGTAGAATTGAACTTCTATTCGAATAATTTTGTTAAGACTGGCAAGTAAAAAGTGGTAAGCTTAAGAGAAAACAATTTGGAAAAAAAGAAAAAAAGATATGCCCAGTATTACAATATACAAATTAAAAAGAACTTTTGCCAACTTAGTTTAGTGTGACGTGTGCAGTATCCCAAGCTGCAACTCCATTGTAATCACTATGAGGAACTCGAGCTGCTGCTGCTCTTGTGATTTTGGTTACCATTTCAATTACCAGATTTAAACCCAGAAGAATCAACGCCGCCTGGATCAGAAGCGTCATTGGTTTGAACTATCTGGCCGTCCGCGGGAACAAGATGAGGAACCCCATCCACTATCTGATTCAACCATAGTATAAACCAGAAGATAACATAGTGACAAGTTGCAAAAAAATTGCATAAATGGTACCATAGTCAACTCCATATGTATTGTAGCTATTCTTTGCACAGACACGCAGAGACAATAATTGTAGGTGCGTGTCTGCAAGAAGCATGGGATTAATGGTGGTGTCGAAACTGTGGGGTTACCCTAGCACAGCTCATTCCAGAATCGGGATGGGGATGTTGTTGGGGACACCTATTGACGGTTCAGAAACATCTCTCGGGCAGGATTCGATCGTCCATTTTGAGGAAGTGGCATGTAGACAGTGGGGACGACTCAGAATCCCATAACTGAAGTCCACATCTGTACTTCACACAACTTAAGGTTAATTTTAAAATGTGTTCGACCTTCTAATTTTGCCCTTGAAATGACATTGAAATGAGAGTGTGTGAGTGTAATGTGTTAAATGATGGAGGAAATAAATGGCGGTGCGTAGAAAAAAGTAGTTGAAAAAAGAAGGGATTTTATAGTATTTTTAATGGTTTAGGTAAATCCAAAATAAAATGAAACTTAAGTTTTGGGACACAAATTATGGAAAGTAAGAAACTAGTTTTGAGACAGAGAGAGTATTTAATTTCTCTCTCTCTCTCTCTCTCACTATCTTACGGGTATTAATTCAGATTGGAAAGACAGCAAATTATGAACGATATCTGCTCCTCTTATTTGAATTGGCGCTTATCATCATCTTCCCTCCGTCGGTCCAATTAACGCTCTACCTGGCTGTAGCTACAAATATGATACTCCCTTTCTCAAAATATAATGGCACACTTTGATCACACACAGAAATTAAGTGTAAACTGTGTGGCTAAGAATTATGCAGAGGAGAGAGAGAGAGAGAGAGAGAGAGAGAGAGAAAGAGAGAAATGGAGAACCTATCATTTTTCATAAAAAAGAAAAATTGACATATTTTTGGAACAAATGAAAAAGGGGAGAAAACATGGTTTTGGAATAGACGGAGTACCTTTGATGTATCCTTGCTAGACCCTCTAAAATTTAAGTTTCCATTTTCTGTCCGTGTCTCCGTCCCCATATATGCACCCGCACCCATCCCAAGGCAACACGTTCAAATGACGCCCGTGAAGGCGTGTTTTACTTTTCTAGCCACATATGTATTATGTGAAACCCCTCAAACAATCTTTAGTATCATGTCAATTATAACACATCCTTCAATTGAGTCAAATTTCCAAATGAGGTGTCTACTAAGGTTAAATACTCCATATTAATTGGATAAACATCTAAGGAAGAGGGCTAGTAAGAAATTGAGAATTTTGTTCAAAAGGAAATATATTACCCCCTATTTGTCAAAATAAACATCAAATTTTCTTTTAGCACAAAGCTTTAGGGGCCTATAACTGTAACTACGGCGATGGGGTAAGGGTCAAAGTGATTAAAAAAACTTACCTCCTTTGGAATTGCAAAGTCTATATCAGTATATTGGGACAAAAAAATAAAGTTTGTCTTGGGAACAGATGTGTTGGGAAAATTATACTCCACTCCTTAAGTACTTTTTACGACGTCATATCTAAAGAGTGGGAGTAGGAAATTATTACAAAAGAACTAACCTAGGTGTATCCCAGGCATTCACACACACAGACATGGAGAGTCCGTGTGTCTGTGAATACTTGGGACACAAATGGGTACCCAATTTTGGGGTACACCTAGCATTGCCTATTAAAGAAACTAGTTGAAGGACCAACAACACTTTATACCATGCAAAATGCTAGAGAGATGCCAAGATTTTGACACCACTTCCACACCAAGCTTCTCACACACAGACAATAACGCACACACCGGTATTGTCGGTACGCACAAACCACTCTTATACCATACCAATAGTTATGGAGAAAGTTATACTAATTTTCAAGAAGAAATTTCCCCTTCCTTCTAAACAAAGAATAGAATGATTCAATTCATTTTTCTCTCCTTTCTATAAATTTAAACAGCACAATTTCCCCCTCCTTAATATTCATGCACAATCAAATGCGAAACTTTCAGTTTAGGAGGGGTTATAATTTATACACTCATAAATTGACTAAGATTACTTGAATGGCTACTGGTTAAGGCCAACAAAAAATAAAATGAACAAGCAACAAAATGAATAGCAAAAACTCACTCACCGGATATGACACTCCGATGGCATCGCTGATAAGGGAACTCGTTTTCTTGCACAACCTACACACATATTTTCAAACCATCGATCTCAGGTGGAGGAAATACTACTTAAGGTAAGTGTGGGTTGGACAGACAACCTTAAGGGCTGTTTAGAAAGCGGGCAGACCAGCAATTCCAAAATTGTCTTCTTCATTCCGGCCCCCAAAGCCTTTCCTCAGAAGAACTCTCTCTGAGCTCAACGTTCCCAATTCCCACTTTCAACTCAAATTAGGGTACGAACTTCAATGAGCGTCATTGAAAGGAATGATATACCAAATCGACGAAGGTGATGACGGCGAAAACCCTTGGCGGCTTTACAAATGGGGAAATCGCTGTTGTCAAAACCCTCGCTACAAATGGGGAAATCGCTGATGTCAAAACCCTAGGTTCGCTACGCGGAAGATTTTAGCGTTTCAGCTAGTAGGGGGGTGGGCACTAATCCTGACAGTCCGAATTTAGGTTGTTCAAGTTTTGTTGGACGGTTCGGATTACAATCTTATCCCGGTTTGTCCCATAAAATTCGGGATCGGAACAAATCGGGATAGATTCGGGTCGTCCCACTTTGTCCTAATCCCGAATATAAGAATAGAAATCACCCTAAATAGGACTAAAACATAGAGAAAAGTACCAAAATAGGACTTTCATGTTTTTTTCCCGAAATTGGACTTTGCACTGTGGTAATGTGAGTTTGCATTGTAGTAATGTGACAGTGTACATGTACACATTACTATACGTTTTTGGTAATGTATATGACCATGTTTGGTAATGTAAGTTCTATTTCGGGAATAAAAACATCTAAGTCCTATTTTGGTATATCTTCAATGTTTTAGTCATACTTGGGTCTTTCTCCCATATAAGAAGGGGGTTACTCAATCCAAAAGTCACAAAATGTCATAAATAAAAGTCATTAACTCCCAAAGACATCCGAAAACTAGTTGTGTACACCAAGCAATTAGCCACTGTCCACTGGATTTTTACAGAATTGTGTATTAAAACTTTAAAAGTGAATTGGCTTAATAATGGGACGGAATTTGGCTCTGGAGTCTGGACTTTGGAGTTAAGACCAAATAAATTTAATAAAATTTGGGTTGAAACTTGAAGTTAACTAAATTATCTAAAGAATAAGGGTATAGAATTAGAATTATATATTAATAGAGTAGATAAAACGGAACAAACGGGACGGATCGATATAAATTTAAGTTGTCCCGCTCATGTCCCATTTGATAATGGGACGGAACGGGTTCGGGATAAAAAAATGGTGTCCCAATTATTCGGTACAATTACAAAACGGATTCGGAATTTTTCGGAATGGTCTAACGGGAACGGATTTCATGCCCACCCCTATCAACGAGACAGATGAAGATGGGTTGCAAATTTCAGGTTCTTAGCAAATGTGGAATGAAGAAAAAGTTAGTTGAGAATAAACACTATTTTATTTGAAAATGAGTAATACTTCCTCCGTCCCAGAGTATTTGTCCACTTTCATTTTTACACATCATCCAATACACTTCTTTAATCCATTTTATCTTGTAATTTGCATATTAAAAAATCATAAAAATTATATATTAATAATCTATATGTTAAGACAAATCAAACAAGATCACACATGACTATATTTAGGCTTACATATTGAGAGAATTTGATGAGTCAAAATGTTTATATGAACAGTTCCAAAAGTCAAAATTGGACGAATACTCTGGGACGGAGGTAGTATTATATTTGGAAATGAACTTTACGTTATTCGTATTGAACAAATGTATGAAAATGGCTACTACATTATTTTAGAATGAGTACTATCTGATGGAGGATGACCCTTAAGTTCACATCAGCTGGGCCCCTTCGTCCACGTGGAGGACCGCTGTGCTCGGCCGTAGAGCTCGTCTCGGCCTACGAGCTCGGCTGTTAACTCCCGGGCTCGGCTCAGACAACATGACAGCGACGAGAGGATAGCGACCGGCCATGTTGACCACACGATAGCGATAGGATAAAAGGGACAAGACGGAGAAGTTGATGACGTCCGCTAGGCGACGAACCTCGATCAGAGGGCTTTAACTAAGTGTGTTGTACCCCCTATAAAAGGGGCAAGACCCCTATTGTAATAGAGGCGAATTCTAAGTGAATAAACTCCTACTTTGCATTCTCTCTCTAAAACTTATATTATTTAATATACTCAGTGGTTTATAGCCATCACTATCGTATTTTAAAATGAGTATTAGGTAGTGTTTGACAAGTAACATTTAATTTCAATTCATGCATTTCAATTCCCAAATTTGAAATCTTGAATTTCAAAAGACAAGGGAAGGTGCATGACTTTCAAATTAAGCTTTGTTATGAATGAAAAGAATTTGACTCAAATTCAAATTCAAAACTTTTAAATTTTCCAAACAAGGAATTTGAGCCAAATTCGAATTTGAAATCCAAAAACATGTTCCCAAACATACCATTATGTTATTTTAAAATGAACACTTATGTTTTGTATGAGAATGAGTATTGCCTTACTTTAAATAAAGTACTACCCGGCTGTACCTTATTTCTCGTACAACCGGTTATACCATATACCTATATATTTTCTATCTGAAAATAACATTCCCATTTTGCTTTTTAGGCATGTAAATTAATAAATGAAAACTCAATTACCTTCAACACGCATATCCATTTACCTAGAAAATATTTGCCTCCATTTAAATGTTTATTATGCGCATCTGATTGACAGAGGTTAACCCTACGCCAGCCTGATATTGGGCCCAGGACCAGACCCCACAGCCCAGATAACCTCAAGGGGATGAATATATATATGCGTACGGCAGGGGCGGACCCACGTTGGGTCACATGGGGTCAAGCGACCCCAGGGAAATTATAAATTGTTTTAGTATGTATATATATACAATTTTCTTAGTCTATACCTAGATTTAGTATATATTCTAAAAACCGCTGCATGTTACAACTTGTCTGTGGTGAAGGAGTGGAATGATCTGCGTTTAACATTGGGTTGGGTGGTCTTGAGTTCGAAACTAGTTCATATATTATTTTTTGGAAGATGTCACCCCCAATTTCAAGAAGAAATCTTCAAATACTCCATTTCTACTTTGCCAAGTTTTTTTCTTACATTATTGAATCTAATTATCTAAATTGGATATTTCTTTTTTATTTATAAATTGTGAAAATTTTAATTTATTGTTATAAATTTGTTATTGTGAATAGTAGAATAGGGAATTGAATTCGTTTATTTTTTTAGATTGTGATTTGTGAATATGTTAATATAATTAGGTTATGTTTTAAGTTTATAATGTCTTTAATTATTTAAATTTCAATATATGATGCAAAGGTATTTTAAAAAAACACCAAGATTTAAAAAGAAAGAATTGAGTGAG